GAGGGATTGTTTCCTTTCGTAGCCTAAACTTGCATAGTTTACTCTATCTCTGTGGGAAATTGAACAAGATGCTGGTGAGGGTGGGGGCTGGTATTGCTTTAACTACCTGTTTTGTAAAAGAGCCACAAAGTTTCTTATACTGATACAAAATAAAAGGGCACTGTTGTCTGTATCAGTGTTCAACATTTCAAATCTGTAAACTGATTCTCATGTAACTTTTTCATGATGGACCGTGTTGCCTGTAGGATTTGATGTTCTCCTTCAAAACTAATAGATCATTTCCCCTTTACGTGTCAAATTGTCCTAAACTCTAGGGTTTCTGTAAATAACTTATTTAGACCACAAAGAGCTAGAATTTGTAATTTTTTTTAAAAAATAATTTGCTTACAGTTGAGTGATTTTAACCATTTTCTTTCTTTGCTTTCCTATTTCTAACTTACCTTTTAAAAATGTCTTTTAATTAATATTTCCCTTGTTAGGAGCCCTAACCAATTGTAGAAACGTAAAAAAATATGCTATGTTTTCTTATCCTATGGTTTCAGTGCATTTTGATATAGATGCCTATGCAGCAAATCTGACAGGGCTGAAGGATTGAGCAGGGTCTGATTTTGAATTTAATAATATGTAAGCAGCCCAGTTTCCATTTTCCCTGTAGTGAATACCACTCACCTCTGCTATTAATGGCTGGATAAAAGCTTTGAGGAGAGTTTCTCACCTTTTATATTCTTCGTTTGTTTTCAAAACTTTTTTTCTTCAAAGTTAAATATCTTTGTTTCCTTACTATAAAACATAGTTGTCTCTGGAGTTTACCTCAGTTTTCCTCTATAAAACCGTCTATAGTTTCATCTTGATTTATATTGCTGAGTGAGGGGAACAGATCTGTCTGTCAGTTCAGTCAAACTCTTTCTGGGCATTTGTGAAACACTTTGATGCAAACTAGTACATTGTAAAAGATTTTTCAGTATCATTTCATAGAGGTTAGTTTTTCTGGCTGATACTACTTGTAGCCAATGGTGTCTGAATCCCTTTTGATTTAGTTTTAAATGACTCCTGGTATAAATGTCCCCAAGACTCCTGCCAAATAGTATACAACTATTTCCCTGTCCTTTATTTCAGCCAAAACCTTGTAATATATTTTTATTGTTTTGACTGGTTGTGACATTAATGTTGAGGGATTTGTAATATCCAATAAAGCATCATACTCATTCAAAACGTGACAAACTTCTACAGTAAACATTTCTTCATAAACATATCCTTTTGTTGGTATATAGATATTATTTGCCTCTAACAATGGAGATGATCTGTGTGACCATGTTTGATGTGTTATATAGTATTAAGTCTTTTGGCTGGTAGTTTGTTAGAGACTATGCAGTAGGGTGACTCCTCACTTTTTATTTTCTTAACTCTGTTTTTTTTTCTTCTTTCTTCATGCTTTCAAAATGTGGGACAGAATTTAAGGTCGATTTTCAGCTGGGAGAATTAGTATCTCCATTGCCTAATACAAAAGCAGCTACAATTACTCTGGGAGGATCTAGCAGGAGTTTGGGATAAAAAAATACAGAAAACATTCATAACTAGGGAAATGTCACTCAGTCATTCATTTCCTACTAGCCTCTGACCTTCCTAAAAATGATTGTATGTGGAGCATGTTTAGATGTCATGTTTTTGTATGAAATTAATGTCAGGAAACAAATTGCTGGGGATGAATCATCCAGTGTGCTAACAGAATTTTTCAGATCCAGGTACTCCTCAGGCACTGTCATCAGGAACTGAGCTGAAACTCTAATTTCTGAGTGTTGCCTGATATTGCAGATTTAGTGCCCTGCTTTACACAGTTTGTACTGAAGGAACTAGAAAAAGGCTGCCTGGCAGCTGACTCCTTTGGGAATCCCTGCTAAAATGAAATGTATATTTCATAAGGCCATCCCAGGGAGCAAAATTTTAAGTAAACATACATTTTAAATGAGTAAGCAATTGTCTGCTGGGAAACTGTGTATGGAGCTTTATATATATATATATATATACACTCATCTTTCAGTGTGGGGAATTAGAGAACATGCTAGTTAATGCTTAACATCCCTCTAAACACAGCCTTGCAAGCTAAATTAGTAAACACTATAGAAATAATATTCTCTGCATAAGGCCCATTTTCACTGAAGTCAAGTCAAAGCTTTACTGCCATAGGAGAGTGTTGTTGACATATAAACTCTGCAATGGATCTGCTTGAGTATTCCTGGAGAGCACATTTTAACAGGAGTTACCAGCAGTGACTTGAAAGTAACAGTATATTTGGAATATTTTTGGATATTGATATGTAGTTGTGTGACACAGTTCCTGTAGTCATAATTCAGCTTGTGTAGGTTTGTTTTGTCAGAGGCTGGACACAGTGAATGTTTATCTCTTGTGACTTTAGCCATCTGTGGCATAGGTGTCTATACCTGAGCTAGTTTTTCTGGGCTCCCCTTATTATCAGTAGCAGAAGTGGATACTTTTGTAATGTATTCACATGGTTTGTCTTAGATCTCTGCTTATGATGAGATGACTTAGTCCCTGGACTCTGTCATCTACATTGAGTGTGCACGCAGATGAGAATGGCTGGTTCAGATCCAGATGCCTGTCTCTAGCTGAAGTCATAGAAAACCTGCCAATGCTGACTAGGAAGACTTTTTTTTTTTTTTTTTTTCCTTTGGGATAAAATCCTGCAGTTGCATCTTTACTATTAATAATTTGTTAGAATTCAGTTTGGTTTTATATGTTTATGTGGGAAAATTGGACCTGAGTGATGAAGGAAGAAAATTTGATGAATTATTCAATGCTTTTCTCTTTCTTCACTTCTGTAGTTCAACTGAGCTATAAATAAAGGCATTTATGTGTGTGTGTGTGTGCATATATATATTGGGAAAAAATCTTTTGGACAAGGTGAACAGAGTGATTTCTTTGTTGCTTTTTCACAATGCAATTCAAGCTTACTGCTATGATAGCTTTTCTGAACTGATTGCATCAGTCTTAAAGAATAGATTGTCAAATACACCAAAGAACAAAAGTAAAATAAAGTAAAAAGAAGATTTTCAGATCTGGACCCTTCATTCTTTTAAATCCTCTTGCATTTTCAGAAAGCACTCAGATCTTACCTGCTGCCTACAAAAAAATAACCACATTAAAATTAGCAGCACTCAAAGACAAGTTAGAAGATCATCGCAAAGATTTTAAGGTATACAGCACATCCTGTACTGATAGGTACATATAAAACTGATTAACAAGTCACAGGGTAGTCTGATTCTTTGTTAATAAGACTTAGCAACTGTATCTCTTCTATATATGTAGTAGGCTCCAATAAGAGCAATGAGACGCATATGTTTTCAAATGCATTAATTCCCCTTTGTCCTTGACTCGTGCTGCTCTGTGAGTAGGAAAACATGTATCTTGAGAGTTAGATGCAGTCTAGAGTGTACTCTGACAGGGCTGCATTTAGTCCATCTTTCACCTAGGAGGAATCACTGTGAAGGGGTTTCTCTTCTATATACCATGTGCATGTTGCGTGCCCACACAATTGCCTTCTCTGCAAGGACTTGGTGTAGCAGGTCCAGGTGCCATTTGGTGCAGGATCGAAAACAAAGGGGGACCTACAGGAAGAACACACAGAAAAGATAGATTTCACAGTGCTTTAAGCTTACAAGTTTTTCTTACCCTGTCCCTTGTACTTTTTACATTGCTTATATCAATACCCAAAATTACATCAATACCCAGGAAAGGATTAATCCTAAATTCAACAAGTCAGCATAAAACTAGAAAATTCAGTATAAAACTAGATGTCACCTTTTTTTCTATCCTGTGGCAGGAGAAGGGTGTCAGTAATTAAAGTGTGTGTAAATGGACAAAAAGTCAGTGTATGCAGTCTGGTTAAAACTCATCCCCCAGCTCAGTGTGAGGCTGGAGGATGGGCCATTCAGCTTTGGGTATGCCAGCACAGAAGCTGCGAAGGTAGAAGAGGACTGATTGTACAGGGCTGACTGGCTGCAAGCAAGCAACTTATTTCTTGGATAGTTCCTATTTTTCTGACACTTGGTTTCTTTTCAATTTTTTATTTTTTCTCCTTTGCAATATGTCAGCTGCAGCTTAATGAATATGCAGGTGGACAAGGGATGCATGTCCTTACAGTTCACTGGACTTAATTCTTAATAGTTTTCAATTAAAAATAAAAAAAAAAAAAAGGTCACTCTTGCTCATACGCTGCAATCTGCTATTACAAATCTTTTTGTGTTTGTGGTTGTTGGTGTATTTTTTCAAGCACTTGTATTATAATGTATTAGAGAGGTACGAGGGATAGGTGTAGGTAGACATGGATACATTAATTCTGACCACTATGCGTAGTGTAAAATTCGTACTGAATTTAATGTATACAATACATTTTATGTATATGAATCTATTTCATTTTTTTTTCCTATACAGAAACTACCTAAATTTAGACTTTTTTTAACAATAAAGAACCCATATAGGTCACGAGATGTTAGATCTCCTTCCTTCCCTCACAACATCTTTTATTTCTGAGCAACATGTCAGTAGCTTGAGATCATGAGAGCCTTTATAAAATGTGTACTTTAGCGAACAAAAAAGATTATGAAATTTCTGATCAATGCTCTGAGGGATTGTTTTTGCATTGATATTGTATTACAAGTGATAGACTACATCGTAACTTAACAAAGGCATGTCTGCTCACTTCCAGCTGATGGTGTCAAAAACAACCTTTCAGTGGTAGCATTTTGAATTGTTAATCGTACTGTTGTTCTATGTTGAAATCCTTGACCTAAATATTTATGAGGGAATCAGTTCTACAGTAGACTACATTAGTGTCCTGCAATATGACCATGTAAGCAAGAGTATCCTTGAATATTTACATGCTCCCAGAGACAGTGGAGGTGCTTGGGAGTGGGAAGTCTGAGCCCCTGGATCCTGGGGGTTTATCTCTTGCTCATTTTCTGTGTCTCATTCTCTCTCTGCAGATCAAACATTCCCTGAAGTGTGGTAGAAGGCAGGAAGAATGACACTTGCTAATTTGAATTTCAGAAAGCACCTAAACCACATTCTGATCTCCAGGTAAGTGTCTGTGAGCCACTTGGCTTTGACACTTGTTAAAACTTAATCACATATCTTTTTGGTGCCAAGCTACTGTACGCAGACCAAAGAGAGGAGTATGCATGTGCTTGTGTTTGTGGGGGAGGGAGTACTTTATTTGTTTGTACAGATGATGTGAAGTAAAAACAACATCACTCTGGAAAATATGAGATCAGCTTATGAAAAAGGAGGAAAGATTTAATGACAGCTGAAAACCTTAAACTACAGGTGTCCTGGTGCAGTTGCTCTTTGCAAGATCTCAAGAAGGAAACATCTGGGAACACATCATTTACTAATTTAGATCAGGCTTTATTTTCCTGTATTCATGCTCTTCCTCTTCCCCCAAACTGCATTTTAAAAACACCCTCAGGTATGTCATGGGCTATATCAAAGTCCTTTTTTAAGCAGTAACTGTCAGATATAAAGGAGAAGAAAAACAAATAGCATATTCTAAATGTCAACAGTAACTAAACAGGTTCTCTCTGTGAAGATTTGGATATCTCCAGAGAAGTTTGGAACATATCTATACTGTGAAACTCAGCATTAACCATGTAAAGGGTGTATATACTGACCAGTGACTTGAAGTCTTTTGCTTTAGATGCCTCATCGTAATTATTAGACGGAAGACTACAAAATATTTCCTCTGCTTTCACTTACATTCCTAAACAAATTCATTTCAGTCAGGAGTGGGCTGCTTCTTTTGGAAGTATTTGAGCCATTGAGTTTTGTCAGCCTGAAAGCTTATGGGAGGTTTGTTGTGCATGATCTTGCTCAAATATTGCATACACCAGAAGTGCTATGATGAGATAACCACCTATGTTGGTGCTGATGCAAGACTGATTCACTGTCTACTTTAGATATCAAAATGAGATAACAATCTGGTGCACCAAAATTTAGGAGCCCGTGTTCCTTATAGAGTCAGTGGAGACGAGTGGGCACCTCTGAAGGGTGACTTGTGCAAACTTCAAGGGGGATGGCATGAATATGCCCCATTGTGTTTGCTTGCAGTCTAAATATATCTGACAGATAATATTTTTATCAGTTTCATGATATGTTTACTAATTGCTAAACCAGCTGGCATATTTTATGCTCATGTAAATATGGCTTAATGCACAAAATGAAAGAATTCCTAGGCTCCCTGGCAGGGTACTTCATGGGATATGGGGCAGAGTTGCAGTTAGTACTGTACATGTGATTGGTGAAGAGAGAAAATAGACCATTAAATGCTGTGCAATGCAGGTAGTGGAGATGCTGCAAGACACTGCTGAACAGAGCAAAGGTGTGTGATCCCTTAAACATACTTTCCATCAAATGAGTAAATGCAGCAGTCCTGCTGCATCCCATGAATGGAACTGGATGATATATGAACACTTAACAGTCTTAACTATGTTAGCAGGTATAGCAACTTTGTTTAGGATGTTCAAAAGTAAACCAAGAAATGTGCAAAAGAGGATAGTTTGTTCTTCATATTGTTGGTGGACAGTACATAAAAATATGTGCTTAAGCTGTAGCAGAGAAGATTCCACTGAGATACAAGAAAAGCCTTTCCAAAGAGCACTGAAGGAGGCTGTGAAATTGTCATCCTTGAGGATCCCTAACTTGGCAAAACACATCTGCTGTGTCTGCCATGTGGGGCTGAGGCACCCTTGAGCCTGTAGTGAGTGCTGGCAGGGAGACAGTAGTATCAACAGCTGAGATGGGAGCTACAGTGAACACCTGAGCCATACCCAGGAGATGGTTTGCTAAAGAGTTCATTTTTGTCTGGGTTTTTCTAAGGCCGGCACCAACAGTCCTCTGTTTCCGTATTAGAGGTCTCAGCTTTCTCTGGCATGCAGAGTTGCTTTAGTAGCAGAGTGGAGCGAGGCAGTTTTTGTCAGCAGAGCGATCCAGGAGTTGAGCTTACTGCCAATTATTCAGACAGCCATCAGGAAGGCCTTGTTTACCAGAACAGTTTTCATCAGTGATTTCCCACCTCGGAATGGAGTGTGATCCTTTTCACATGTCTTGTGAGCACTATTTTTAGCTGAGCAGCGAGAAATGCACTTGCAGCAGAACCGACACAGTCATTTGATGCAATGTATGATTTTTCCCCAACCGCAGATGTAATAAACACAATCTGTAATATAGTTTTTATCCATAAACACAATTAGTCACGGTGATTAATTCTCATGATCTTTTAGCAACTTAATAAAGTGAAGAAATATTTCTCAATAGGGATAGTAATGGGTTGAGAAAGGATGTTTCTGAATCACTGTTTTACCTACTATGGATATATCATTTTGCCTCTTTGTGTTTGGTGAAGTCCCCAGAGATTAGTCCATCTTCATGAGAGTACTGAGTAACTACAGATTCAGGTCAGGATGTTCTGGAGATAAGAATGTCATCTATACTGTGTGATATTAGTGTGTTTTCATAATGATTACTAATGTGCATTTTTAATATTTTTGAGATGGAAATTTGTTACTATTTTTCAGTCTATCAATGCATACATAGCCTTTTCTGACATTCCTAAAAAGGCACAATCTTTTTCTCAGTGCAAAAACTGGGCCTAAGGAATTCAGGGTGTATATGTTTTTTGTCACTGGAGAAAGTCTGCTTGTGAAATGCAAGTTGGCAATGGATGGTGTGGAGCTACTTGAATGGAGCTTGGAAAAGACGTAATAACTTCTCTTTGAACTTCTGGATATGTGTCCTGTGTCCAAATAAAGGAGAACGCATGGTTTATTAGCTCCATGGATCACCAATCACATCGCATCGTAATCTATGGATCAAAACTGAGGCCAAGAGTGTAGGAAGCCAGGTTAGACCTTTTCATTTCTCCTTTCCACCTACCTGGGGTTTCTTCATCCCCTTTGGTACACAGTGCCTGTATTCCCAGTGGGGTAGTAATGACCACTTTGACAAGGCACTATGCAAACACAGCAGGAGAGGAAGGTCCAGCACCTTGTTTACAGCACACCATGCAAGCACTTTGCCCTAAAGGATCTTATTCTTGCTGACAAGCCCTTATTTATACAGGATGTTGTAATACTGGTTTACAAAGGGGGTGATTGAGATTTTTGGCGTGATTGCTGGACCTCAAAGGTTGGTGCCTTGCAGCCCTGTTGAAGGTGTAAATTGCCCTGACTGTCCACCCTCCCACATGTTGCAGCATGATCTGAGGGGTGCTGATAAACCCCCTGTGAGCAAGTTTACATTCCTGACTGTGTCTCCAAGATGTGCCCAGTAGCTGTAAGGGCTGTGTCACTGCTGTTCCAGTGACCCTTGTGCTGTACCCAGACCTGTGTTCACCATCAGGCTGGTAGACACTCAGTGGCTGGGCTGGCAGTGGTGGCATCTCCACAGTTTGCCTAGTAAGAGGTCCCTACATCAACGAGCATCTCTGTGCCACCTTATCCTTCCTCCATGCAAAGGCACAGCCTCTAGTTGCAAGTTCAGACAATGTCAGCACTTGGGAACCAGTGGGGCAGGCTAAAAGCCATAGGGCCTGCATCTGGCCACAACCCTGGTGTCTTCCTCTCCTCCCCTGCCATTTGCTGTGAGACCCCGTGTCTTATGTAGGTTACATGGTAGGCTCATAAGATCTGCATAGTGTGGAAAAATAGGAGGCTGAGTGATAGGTGAGTTATTGCATGCCACAAAACCTGTGGCCCAGGTTTTAATTTGTGCATACCCATAGGAGGTACAGCTAGATATGCTGCGAGTGACCCAAACACCTTTGGTGTGGAGGCACACAGGATATTCTGGACACTCTCAGGAGCTTTCTGTCTGAGCAGTGTAGACACAGGCACCCCTCAAAAAAATCACAGTTCCATTCTTATCTCAGTGGCAGAATACAAATTTCAAACTGAATCTGACTCTGGATATCCTTGAGTTGCTTCCAGACAACAGACTAAACTTTCCTGAACTGAACAGGGCACATGAAATCTGAAGCCAAGTCCAAGTTTTACAGATTGAGCCAGGACCTAGTTAGAAGAAAAAAGAATATCTTATTTATAGTAGGAAATGAGTACTTGACTAACGGGGCGTGGTATATATTAATGAAGGCTTCAGACTGAAAACCAATAAGGCTGGTTGCGTTCAGACTGCGTTTCAGCAGAAAGACTCCAGGTATGCATTTCTGAGGCAAGCAGGCGTGTTCTTAAATCCATCTGCTCACCTGAGCAAAACCTGCACTCACAGCTTGAAGTCTGCTAAATACACCTTGTGTATAGCAGAATGTATATAGAGCTTGAGTGGAATGTTATTCATGAATGGATAAAATAGAGACAAATTATAGGAAAAAATGTTGAAAGGAAATGACATTTAGGAAGACAAGGAAGATAAGCAGCACAGGGGCAGTCTAACGATGTGACAGACCCAGAGGCAGCTCTAAAGCTCTAACACAATTATTCCTGGACACTGTTGTCTTAGTTGCTTTGGCATGTGGTCCAGTAACTGGGAACAGAGAATAATGATCAGAGCACCAATAGGTTGTGGTTTTGTACAGCTCACCACAAGCTTTCTCTTTCCTGTCAGAAAGTATGTGTACTTGTTTTTAAAAATAACTTAAAAACCTCTGTTATTTTTGATGACACTGATTTTGGAGAAAACCTGTCAATGAAGTAAAGAAACTTTCTAAAACATTCCTTTCTCATAGTGTTACATTTTATGAGGAGAAAATAAGTCCCTAGTAGTTCACATATTAGAAAAGACATATATACATAGATTTAAGTACAAGAATCCATACTGACAAGTGTGATCTTGTGTGAGCTTGTCAGCTTTTTCTAGTATACATCTACCTATGTGAGTAAAGTTGCGTGAATGACTTGTGAGTGTTACGAGTTTACAACAGGGACTGGCAAAATGTTAGCTGCTTTTAACAGCAGTTATGCTTTGCTATTCCCCATTATTTTCAAGAATAGAAAGGGTTTTATGAAAGAGGACTTTCAGATGTGGTTCTGAGTAGTAAGGGTAAGCTCAGCACCTTGCCTTCTC